ATATATATATATATTTGCAACATTGTATATATACATATATAGTTCCAATATTGCATATATATATATATATATATATATATATATATATATATATATATATATATACATACAAATTAAAAATATGGTTTATTTATGAATGAAAGCGCTTAATATCAAGGATTTTGTCAAATTCATTTTTTGTGTATATATTTATCTCTCTCTATCTATGTATTATTACAAAAGCATATACATATATATAACATTGCACGCACACACACTTTATATATATATATATATATATATATATATATATATATATATTCTACAAAAATTGAGGAGTACAAAACGTCTGTCCACCTTAAAAGTTCATTATTCGAAATGCATCAACCTTCTTCACCAGTGTAAGTTATTCAAGCAGACTTAGATATATATATATATATATATATATATATATATATATATATATATATATATATATATATATATATATGTGTGTATGTATGTGTGTGTGTGTGTCTACCATAGGTAAGTAAATATAAATATATGTCTGTATGCGACTTTTCGACATGTTAAGAGAAAAAAAATACCGGTCTTTTTAATTCTATGTGTCTTTCTCTTCAACGTTTATTGATCGCGTTAAACATTTTTTGTTAACTTGATGCCTTCTTTTTTTTTCTTTTTCCACGTACATATTTTCTTCGCTCCCATTTCTTCCTCTATTTTTTAAAAAAAAATTTCCCATCCTTCCCCCTCTGTTAAATTTTCTACTCGATGATCCTGATAGCTGAAATCTTGTTAATGAACGGCATTTTCTCTTCCTCCAAAAATGGCGTCTATAGGGATCTGTTGGTAGGCTAACTTAAACCACACAGTCCGTTATAAATGACCCAAGCTTTTAACCGCTATGTGATGTTGAATAATAAAAGTGGTAGAAATAATAATAATAATAATAATAATAATAATTGTTCTTTTAATTGAATTGCAGTGTTTGTAATAGTCAATTGTTTTTGCCAATGATTGACAGGGAATTTATGTTTGTTTTTAATGACAGAATATTTACGTAGGGACTGGGGGATCATAGGAAAAAATCTGTAAAGTAAATTTACGTAAGAGAGTAACGTGGACACACAATAAGTGAGAGGTTTTAAAAAGTTCAAGGGTCACTAATACTGCACTTTAGGCAAACAACTATAGAGTAAAGAATGTAGCGATATATTCGCAGTTTTTTTTTTCAAACGATTCAGACGACAGTTTTGACTCTGTAAGCATCTGTTTTTATGTCCGCATGCACGTAACATTGTGTCGTAAAAATTGATGAATATGTGAGTAAATTGCCTGACAGTTGTTTTTTTTTGTTGTTCTTTTGGTTTTTCATATTTTATTTTATTTTTTTTTTATATTTTTTTTTCATTTTATGAGTATTGTTGGTTGTTCGGAAAGTAATGTCGCGTTTTTGGAGACGGCATAAAACCCTTTTCAAATGTAGCAAAAGTGAAATTAATTTTTCAGGAATATAATCATCATGATTCACAATGACAAAAAAGAAAAAAACTACCTGTGCAGCTCATTCCTTTTTATTACCTATCGTCAGAATCGGGTCGTCTGAACGAAGGGAATATGGCAGGTTTCGTCTCTGACGGCATTTTGGAATCATCAAAGATTCTTCTATGTAGAACGAGTTCAGATTGATTATTTACGCCAAGGGAAAGCGTATAATTCTTCGCCTTCAGTAAAATAAACTTAGGATTCATTTTTTTTATGGCTTTATCAACCCATTGCAGGTTACTTAAAGGCAGAAAATATTTTTAGATTGTAAGCATTTTTGGAGATGATCACGATTTACTGATACAGGTCCTACTGTTTAACCCAGAGCTGGTGGGGAGAAGAGGTGGATTCTTTCCATTCCCAAAGAAATTGGCGCGGAAGTAAATATCACGCACGTTTCTGGGATTGGAACCCGGCTCCCCGATTTTCAATTCCGTGTCGTTATCCATTATACTACCCGCACATGTAATTGGCATTCTCAAAGGGTCACCCATCTATATACTGACCAGGCTCGACGTTGCTTAACTTTGGTGATCGTATTAGAACCAGTGTTTCAACGTGATATGTCTTAAGAAAAAACATCAAATTGTTAGTTTGGTGGGATTTAATTTTTTCTGTTTAGAAAGAAAACTTTTAAAAGTTGAAAAACGCCCAATTTGGAATTACCAAAATTCTTTTCGTTCAGAATCCCGGATTCTTTTAACAGAGGATAAATGAGTTAAAATATAGAATTCGTCATTGCCAATAATGATGATAACGAGGATGATGCCTTTTAAAAATGAATTAATTTAATTTTTTGTCAATTTGAAACTATTATTATTATTTCGAAATATGCGACATTATTTTGCGAACAACATAATTTTATATATATATATATATATATATATATATATATATATATATATGTTTGTAGGTATTTGAGGAATGTTTACAGAATGGAAAATTATTATATATTCTTCATCTTGCCTTTTATGTTTCTTTCTTCTTTTTTAAATTCAGAAATATTTATCCATGTTCGACATGAAAAAATGTTTTCTATTTATTTTTGTTTTTTTTTCTTTTCTGTCAGTTTTATTTTTGATAACTTTCTGTCTTTTGAATTGAATATACGTATGATCTCCTCCATTGGAACTGTCTTTTGTTTTCATGGTTTATTAAGATTATTTCTTCCTTTCTTAACAATCTTTTCTTCGTCTTTCATTTGAGATATTTAACTTTTGAACATGTCGCACAGCAGCCGATTCATGGGGGTGTTACCAATAGTGCGACGGAAGAACACCTTCTCGATCCGGTCTGGTGGGACATAACGTAGGGCCGGCAACATCAGGAGGAGACGACCAAACCTGCAATAATAATAATAATAATGAAGCCAACAAGTTCAAAATGGAGTTTCAAATGTGTGAAGAAATACAAGTAAAGCAAAATACACAGACTGAAGCTGCAAAATACTTTAAAAAGGAAAGAATACATTCGTCCAAATACAAAAACGATGGCAAGATAAACCGCTTCAAGGTCAATACTCTGCTCATACCAAACAAGCTGATGTAGACTAACCCCGTATCCATCAGTGGCCACGTAGTGTAGGGTTAAAAGCTGAAACAGAAGGTTTTTAATCTTGCTGCATAGGACCAATCCTTGCTAACTAGAAATTATTAATACAGATTCTGTGATAAATATCCAGAAACAATTGATCATCTTGTATCAAGCGACCATCTTGTATTGGCACACACTGAATATAAAACACGGCATAACAGAGTTGGCCAATATCTGTACTGGAAAATGTGCAACTTTTACGGAATGGAAAATGAAAGAATCCGGTATGAATACCACCCAGACCCGGTTACGGAGATAGGACCTGTTAGAATTTGATCGGACTACACAATACACACGGACAGAACAATCAAAGCTAACCGCCCAGACATTGTTATTAGAGACGGCAAACAAAAAAAGTGCCTCCTTATTGATATGGCAGTCCCTACGGACTTCCAATGTAACTTTGAAGATCTTCAAAAAGCTATCAAAATACAAGGACCTTGAAATCGAAATCTCAAAAATGTGGCTCATTGGAACATCAATAATTCCAGTTGGAACAAGCAGATTGATTGGAAAAATTCCAGTTGACTGATTGACGGGATAGCCCATGCCTTTAAGATTTAACAAAAAAATTGTTCTCACGAGTACAGACCACGCCTTACGATGGGCTTTATCTATGTAAAATATGTATGATGTTTTTTAGTTTCAAAATTGCTTAGTGGAAAATATCACGATGCCATTTCTGGTCTTAGGTCTCTGGTCAGGACCCAGAAAGAAATGAGTATACACCAGAAATCAAGGGAAATAAAATAATAATAATAATAATAATAATAATAATAATCAAAATATAGAGTTCTTGAAGTGTAAATCTCAAAAATGTAGTGCATGAAGACATCAGTAATTCCAGTTCTAATAGAAGCACTCGGATTGATAGGAAAAGGTTCCGATAGACTCATTGAAGGGATTGCTGGTAGTCAATGTCTAAAAGAAATACACATTTTCTGACTCACAAGTAAAGCTCACACAAGAAAAAGAGATTTATCTATGTAAAGTGTGTGTGATCCTATGCTTTTTTTTAATAAAAATAATCAATGAAATAATTCATGAAGCCGTTTCTCACCGTAGGTATCCGGTTGGCACCCGTGTAGAAATGTATATATAAAAGAAATCTAAAGAAATAATAATAATAATAATAATAATAATAATAATAATAATAATAATAATGGGAACATTAACAATCCCTGTTGTAGTTGGAGCCCCAAGATTCGTTGGAAAATATACTAGTAGACTAGTTGAAGGGGTTCCTGGAAGTCCATGCTTTAAAGAAATACAAAAAATTGTTCTCACAAGTACAGCCCACGCTTTACGAAGGGCTTTAACTATGTAAAATATTTTTTTCAGTGGAAAGTGTCATGATACCATCTCTAACCTTAGGTCTCTGGGCGGAACCCGGAAAGAAATGTGTACACACGAGAAATCAAAGGAAATAATAATAGTAATAATAATAATAATAATAATAATAATAATAAGATAATATTAATAGTAATAGATATATAGATAACTAGATAAAAATCAACATTTGAGATAGATAAAAACGATCATATTGAGATCGATAAAAATGAACATATTGAGAGAGACAGATAGATAAATAGATAGATTGATAGATAAACAAACGTTTGGCAACTGTAGTATGAATGAAAAGATCTTTTATTAAACAGTGATTGCTCATGTATAAACTCTTCAAGTCTTTGTATCTCGAATTGTTTGTTTTGTGACTCTTTGAATTGTGTGCGTGTGTGTGCGTGTGAGTGCGTTTGTGTAATCGTGTTGAATGTCGCTGATGCAAATGTATGGATGTCCATAGTATATAAATTCTCTGATCTCGCTGATTGTCACTTCTTGTTTGCTTTCCTTTCGCAAGCTTTCTTGAAGTGTTTGTCCACATGCCTCTCGACTCGGCTGTTCCTCCACAATTTCTTCACACTTCTCGCCATCGATCATTTGATCGCTTGCATTCTCTTTACCCTTTTTGCTGGGCGGTGCCGTGGCGAATGGGTTCGAATCGACCGGAAGATATCGAGGAGATCGCTAAATATTTATCTTCGAACCCTGTTACAGCCAAACCAATTATTTAATGCCGTAATTATATATCATTTCTTTGTCTGCTTTTTTCTTATTTCTCTAGTATTTCTTTTTTCTTTCTTTATTGTCTTTTTATTCATTGAAGCCTAATTCTCTCGTTCTCTTAAATTACTTTTCTTTGTTTGTAATCTCCTTTACTCTGTCTAGCTTTTTTATTCTTTTATCCTATCACATATTTTTCCCTATCTTTCTCTCTAAGCCATTTCATTTTATTAATTTCTTTATACTATCAATGTTAGTTTTTTTTTCATTCGTTCTTTTCGCTTTTCATTTCCAGTTTTTTTTCTTTGTTTTCTTCCTACTTTCTTTGGTTCATTTGAGCATTTCTATGTTTTTCCTTCATTTTTTTTTAATTTTCTGTTTCTACCCTACATTATTTCCTTCAGTTATTTATTCTGTCCGTATTTTTTTTTCTTTTATTCGTATTGTATGATTCGTTTCTTTTACTTTAAATTTCTGTCTTTCTTTGTTTTTCTTCTTCATTCATAATTTCTTATTTCGTTCTTTTTTTATTTGTTTTGTTTTCTTTCTTCTGTTAATTTCATTTTTCACTTTTTTAAATTTGCGTCTTTTTCTTTCATTTCTTATTTCTTTTGCCTCTTTTTCATTCTCTTTGTGTGATTTCTTTCTCTTTCATTCAATGTTTCTTTTTCCGCCATATCATTTATATTTCTTTCATTCTCGTATTTCATTCGTTTTTATCTTTCTTTCATTTACTAATTACTTTTTCATTTTCATATTCTTCTGTTCGTCTTATTTTTTTTAATATTTTATTTTCATTCCTTTTTTTCCCCTTATACCCGGATCGTTTTCCTTTTTTCTTCATTGCACCTTCTTTTCTTCCATTTCTTCTTTATACCTTTTTATGACTTACATCACCCTTTCTTTCTTTCTTTCTTTCTTTCTTTCTTTCTTTCTTTCTTTCTTTCTTTCTTTCTTTCTTTCTTTGCGTGTATATTTACCATTCCAATTTCATATTAGACAAGCACGTCTATATTTCCCGCCTTTTTGTTCGTTGCCTTCTTCCCGGTCTCGTCACGTGATAATGGCCGCTGACAATCCTGTGTCTTGTTGATCTTATTAAACATCTAATGACGGCGTGTAAATGGAATTAGGCCAATAAATGACCGAACAAGTCAACGACGGATCAACGCCAAGTGGGTAAACGGTTACGGGGTTAAGCCTGCCCAACAGTTTACTCACTTTCCGACGGAGAAGCGACGCCAAATGCTGATGAGGGGGGGGGGATAGTCACAACGACGCTAAAAGTGAGGGAAAAAAAGAAAAGAAAGACTATCAGTAGTAGCAGATCAAGATAAAGGACGAGGCTGAAGGCTTTGAAACATGGCAGGAGAGAGAACTGAAGAGTGGTAGTCGAAGGAGGGGGAATATAAAAAATATGGAGAAGTATCAACTATAAGAAGAATGTTTGGAAAGGAAAAAATCATGGATACCAATAACGAGAAAAAGAAAAAAAGAGACTACTTGTTTACAGAATATAGATTATGATATTTGTGAGACTAAACAAGTTTGACCCATGGCCACTTTCGCTGAGCGCGGGTGGGGATTGAACCTATTAGCAGTGGCTTACAATACTATGAATATAATCATTTTTTTTAAAGGATTTTGATGGTTCTATGGCAAGTGATGTTATATTTAAAGTTTTGAGCTAAACAGGGTAACAAGAAATCGGAAGGCAGTCCCAAAGAATGTTCCTACCAAAATGCCAGGCACCCAAAGCTCCAGTCCAGTCCAGTCTGATAGTCCACGCTGGGATCCAAGACTGCCCGGCTATTTAATTCCTCGCTTAGAAGGTGGGGGCTGGAGAGAGAGTAATGTATTCATGACTTTCCCAAGGGTATTAGTGGGAAAGTAAAAACAATAGAATTTGAACTTGGCTCGTCGATTCTCATTCTACGTCGATAACAATCACATTAACCGCAAAAGAAAAACAAAATTCCAAATAAGATGAAGATTATGTTACAATCATTCTTTGGAGCTAGGAATTTCAGAACATTGTCCATTACTTGTACTCGAACACTAACAAGTGACACAGATAGTTAATTGTAATGTTAATTGTGACATTGGTCGTTTCCCTAGAAGGAAACATTTGACATTCATTGATTTCGTAACCAGTATTAATTTTAGTTAAAATTTAGAAAATCTTTCTTTTTATAGTAAAATAAGTTTCTCAAGTCCGGTAACTACTATCGCCCTTTCCAGTATTCATTGGGTTTCATTCCTAACCTTTTATTTTATATATATATATATATATATATATATATATATATATATATATATATATATGTGTGTGTGTGTGTGTGTGTGTGTGTGTGTGTGTCTGTGTGTGTGTGTGTGAAGGAAGACGTTATATTTGTTCCAACAAGAGAAAAGTGTATATATTAAAAAGAAGAGAGAAACTGCAAACGTTTTTTGTTGTAATGTGGATTTTTTATTTTTCTATAATTTTGCAACACGGGTTTCGGGTCTCGCGACCTTCTTCAGGCAAAGAGTGGATATTTCCACATATTATTAAAATGAATTAATTTTCCTTATGTTTTTCGATCTTAAATATGTTAAACATTCTCTTTTTTGTGTGGTAGTTTTTTGAATTATATATTTTTCTTGAACTATATATATATATATATATATATATATATATATATGATAAAATATAGTTTTAAGGTATGCTATATCTATGGGTTATAATAATAATCGCAGGATAGAACGTATGTAAATATAAAAGTGTTGCTTTCAATGTCCACTTATTACGTACGAATCCTCCTCTTCTCCCTCCAGATATGGGTAAATAGCAGAACAGACTGGGTTCTATAGCTTTGGATGGCAACTAGTCTAGAAGAAGGACAAGTCAAAATTCAAAACCTGCAGGAGAGTTGTTTGGGGTCCCTATGGCATGTAGTGCACCAAGTCTCTGTATTCGGCCCTTCAAAAATTGTGGTTGTTTCTGCTCAAAGCCTTCATCGCTATAATCAAATCACATGTGCTGGTGTTTGTCTATCGGTTCCGAGGAACTGAATTGCTTGACCCTCATACGTTGAATACGACGGGAGAGTCCGCCATATATATGATTTAAATAGATTTGAACAGCGGCTTGTCGGTTAATCAATTTTCAACAAAAGGGATCTTAAGAAGTATTTCCTTCTCTCTAAGAAAGAAAAGGAATATCAATATATATATATATATATATATATATATATATATATATATATATAAAGCAAAATAATAAATAGCTTGAATTCCGAATTTTATTCGAACTAATTTATGTCTAATTTTGTGCAGATTTCTTAGTCAGATGGTTTATGGCTTTATCACAATGAAATACCGGTTCTTGTACGATTACAGAAGTTAAGTAACGTTGAGTCTGGTCAGTACCTAGAAGAGTGACTACTTCAGGATACCAGGTACCATCTTGGATGTGCGGATGGTTTAATAGATAATGGCTTGGAACCGGAAATCGAAGAACTGAGTTCCAATTCATGAGGAGTTCGTTATATTCCTGGAAATCGTATGAATCCACTTCTTCTCCCTCAGCTATGGGTTAATTAATAAGACATGTATCAGTAAATCAGTATTATCTCCCCAATATTCTTACAATCTAATATAATTTCTGGCTTTAAAAAAACCTTTAAAAATGTGAAAATTCAATCAGTCAAACTTAGTTAAAGTTATTTACGTACAGTCCATATTTCTTACAGAAGAAAAATTATTTTTTTATATATATATATATATATATATATATATATATATATATATATATATATATATATCTTGATAAGACACCATAAGTTGCTGAAATAAAATGGCTATTTTTGTAGTGATTTTATAACATATTTATGTTATAATTTATATATATTCCGATATCTTACAACCGTCACTAATAGCAGATATTCAAAAAACATCTTTCGGTCGACATACAGGTATATCGTCTCAAGTTTTTTGATTTTATAAGCAAAAAAACACATGCCTGATGATGGATGGAAGACTGTCCGTAAGTACTAGCATTTTAACATCAAATAAACTGAAAAACTACAGACAACAAGTTTTTCTTCAAGGATCAAAACTCGCACTATGGATGAACAGGATTTTAATGCATATATTATGTTTTCTAGCGATGGATGTCGCCAATAATCGCATTGATACTTCTGATTAATTCTATGTGATTATTCTTTAATATATATATATATATATATATATATATATATATATATATATATATCAAATATGTGGTGCAGTTTAACTATTTTGTTTTTGGTAACCTTAGCGTTTGTATCCGTTATCAATAACACATTTAAAAATATATATTTCGATTTGGATTATATTTTTTATCCAACGATGCTACCTGTATTTTAACAATAGTTTTCATGCCTGGTGATGACCGGTAGAACCGTCGAAAGTACTTGCGTAATTAAGAAAGACCTAATACAGCGTATAATTTAAAAAAAAACAAGGATCGTGACATTCAGCGAATGATTAGTAGGTTAATGCATCTTTAAAATTTAGTTAGCGAAGGGATTACGTCTTTTTATATCAAGTTTACTAATTTAATTTTTTGTTTGAATAATCCATTGTAATACACACACACACACACACACACACACACACACATATATATATATATATATATTACACATAGCTGGCCAGTCGTATTCGAGGATGCCCGTTTACTAGGGTGGCTAGCCAATCTCTATTGCAAACGCTTGCTCAGGCGCATTTGTATAAATTCAACACCCCCAGAACCCACCTGTAGTTTATACTGTGGTTATATGCTGACCAAACCTTAGTTGTAGTTTCTGGAAAAGACCGTGTTATTTAGCGTGATCAACAATTTGAAGAAGGCCAGCACGCTCAAGCCCTCGGCCACGATGACTTTTGACTTCATGCTAGCAAATCTATCGACAGCACCAAAGAGATCCGTCTCCCCAATTTCACTCAGAAGGCTTGGGTCTACCCGTGGTGTGATCTTCGGGCACTTTCCAAAGGTGCCGCATGCTGAGATCGACCATTTCTTTCCTGACAAATCGACCATGATGAGATTCGAACCCGGGTCTCATGGTCAGAATGCGAACGTCCTATCTATCTATCTATCTATCTATCTATATATATATATATATATATATATATATATATATATATATATTGTAATAATCGATATTTCGCAGCTGTGTAGAGAAATTTTTGAAGAAATGTTTGAAGAAATGTTTGCAAAAAACAAACAAAAAAAAAAAAAAGAAGCTTTTGATCGACCCTAATAGAAAGGATCAACATTTGTCGGCGTGTTAAACGAGAAATACTGGTTCTTTTGAGTCTGGTCAACTTAGACCGACCTGAGATTGTTCAGTGAGTTATCGACATCGTATCAGCTTGAAAGAGTTCTGTTCACATCATGTCGTATCGAGACTCTACGCCTGAATA